TAACCCACGACATCCACCTAAAAGCCTTTCACCTACCGGGCGCCCAGAACATGAGGGCGGATCGCTTGAGCAGGGACTTTTCCTCTCAGCACGAGTGGTCCCTACACCCAGAAGTGGCCCTCCAGCTTTTCTGGAGGTGGGGAACTCCCCAGGTGGACCTATTCGCGGCCCGACAGAACCGACGATTCCCCCAGTTCTGCTCCAGGAGGGGCCTAGGGAGGGGTGCTATCTCTGATGCCTTTATCCTGCCCTGGTCTGGCCAACTCCTATATGCCTTCCCCCTGTTCCTGCTGATCAGCAGGGTCCTAGAGAAAAAAAAGATGGACAAGGCCAGGGTCCTCCTCATTGCCCCGGCATGGCCCAGGCAGCACTGGTACGGGACGCTGTTGGGCCTGGCTGTGGCTCCAGTGTGTCCGTTGCTGCTCCGCCCAGACCTGCTCTCTCAGGACCGGGGCCGTCTCCTCCACCCCAACCTAGCAGCTCTTCACCTCTCGGTGTGGCTGCTCAGTGGCTAGGTGACAAGGAGAGGACATGCTCAGTTCCGGTTCAGCGCGTCCTCCTTGAGAGTAGGCGGCCCTCCACTTGCCGCTCCTACATGGCAAAATGGTCTCGTTTTGCTAGGTGGGCAACGGACCAAGGTGTATCCCCAATGGCCACCCCGATCCAGCTTATCCTCGATTACCTCCTCTGCCTGAGGGCCCAGGGCCTGGCGCCCTCGTCAGTCAGGGTGCATCTGGCAGCCATATCGGCTTTCCATCCCCCGGTGCAAGGACACACGGTGTTCTCCTATGCTGTGACTGGCCGGTTCCTTAAGGGTTTGGACCGGCTTTACCCATATTCTAAGCCCCTGGTCCTGCAGTGGGACCTAAATCTGGTGCTGGCCCGGCTTACGGGGCCCCCATTTGAGCCGCTGGCCACGTGTTCCTGGTCTCACCTCTCATGGAAGGTGGCCTTCCTGGTTGCTATCACGTCAGCCAGGCAGGTCTCGGAGCTCAGGGCCCTGACCTCCGAGCCGCCGTATACTGTGTTTCATAAGGACAAGGTCCAGCTCTGCCCACACCCTGCGTTCCTCCCAAAGGTGTTCTCCGCCTACCACATGGGTCAGGACATTTTTCTGCCAGTCTTTTGCCCCAAACCTCACACGACTAATGAGGAGCGCTGCCTTTACACACTCGATGTGAGGCGGCCTCTGGCTTTCTACCTCGAGCGAACCAAGCTGTTCAGAAAGTCCTCGCAGCTGTTTGTCGCCTCAGCTGAGCGCGCGAGAGGCCAGCCAATTTCCACTCAGCGGCTGTCCAACTGGATCACTTCGTGCATTCGCTCTTGTTATGAGCTGGTGGGTGTTCCCCCACTGCCTATTGTTAGAGCACACTTGACGCGGGCACAGGCCTCGTCAGCTGCCTTTGTGGGCCACGTCCCTATTCAGGACATTTGTAGGGCCGCCACGTGGTCTTCGGTTCACATGTTCACCTCGCACTATGTGATAGTCTCCCAAACCAGGGATGACGCCAGGTTCGGCAGGGCAGTACTCCATCCCGAGAACTTGTGAATTCCTACCCACCTCCAGCAGATGCAGCTTGGAATCACCTACTGTGGAATACACATGAGCAATCACTCGAAGAAGAAAAGACAGTTACCTTTTCCGTAACTGGTGTTCTTCAAGATGTGTTGCTCCTGTCTATTCCACATCCCGCCCTCCTTCCCCGCTGCCAGAGTTGTCTGGCAAGAAGGAACTGAGGGTGGGTCGAGCGCGCAGCTCCCCTTATACCATGCCAGGCAGGCGCCAGTCCAGTGCCAACAGATTTAACTCCCCCTTGGCCAGAGGAAGCAGATTCATCGTCAGATTCTGAGGTTGGTTTTTGTGACTACCTAGTTGCATACAGCATGCATCTTTGGGTACCTGCCAAACCTGGTACCTACTGGAGCCTCACAAAGACTAAAGGCCCAGACATAATTGGGTCCCAAGCCCATATCCATGGCCATTCTGGAACCCTTGGGGTTTCCAGCTGGCCTCCAGGTCTCCCCATCCCCCTCATTCTACTGCTTTGGACAGGCATGAGGAGCAGCCACATTAGAAACAGCAAGTGTCCTCTCCTAGTACTGGGTCTGGTACCAAGCAAGAGGAAGTCCCCTCAGCAGATCTGCCCATAGAGGAATTAGAGGAAGCTCTAACTCATCACACTTTGGATTCCTCTTTCTCATCACCAGATGAGACAGTTGTATCGGAGACCACTTCTCCCCCACCTGATGATTACAAACCCCATCAATACTTATTAAGGAGGATGGACGTAGCTCTGGATATCCAGCCAGAGGAAGCACTGGATATCCAGCTAGACTTGTGGACTGTGACAGGGTGCCACCTGATGTACTGGGGTACCACTGAGACCACCTGTTCCACCAGGCTGGGCTCTCTCACCCTGTCCTGCTAAGCCAGGCCCTCAAGCCTCCTCTAGCACACACACAGATAGGGGCACACCCATCTGCAGAAAGACACAGACACTGAAATCACTATTGCATGGAAAGGCTTTCAACTAAGGAATTGCCCAGCACTCAAGTGCACTCCCCCTCTGGAGAGTAAACCCAAAATTGTATTGTCTTGCATTGCATCGAGAACTGTACAGCGAAAGCTAATTGAAATTCGCCCTCTCCCTCACTGTGGAGAGAGATATACACAGCTTTTTGCCCGCCCTCCCTTCCCCCCCCATTTATGAATTACACAAACTGGGTTAAAAACAAAAACAAATTTATTAAGTACAAGAGGTAGATTTTAAGTGATTATAAGAGATAGCCAACAGATCAAAGCAGATTAATTTAGTAAATAAACGAAAATTGCAAACTGAGCTTAACACACTAGATAAGAAGGTTTCAATGCCAAAGGGAAAAGAGGCCAAAAAGCTAGACCACTTTGGTAGGAAGCTTTGTTCTACCTGAGGTCTCCAATTCAGAATTGCAAACCAAAAGACATAACTGGGTCATTACAATGTTAGCCTGTGGGATAATATTTTAAAGACAAGAATTCTCCACAGTGGTAGAAGAAGGCAAATTAGTGGCCAGCTTAGATGCGTCTGACTCTGCAGCTCAGCCATGGCTTTGGCCATTACTATACAGCAGTGTTCATGGCTGCAGTTGTCTGGTTTCCCCCAGAGGTTCAACAGACCTTTCAATACCTCCCATTTGAGGATCCTTCACTCTTTTCTGAGAAAGTTGATGAGAGACTGCATAGTCCCAAGGATTCAAGAGCGACCTTTAAGTCGCTGGGTATTTATACACTGATGGCAAAAATAAAGCTGTTTTGCCCACAGCAGTCCTCCCTGTATCCAGTTTTCATGCTTTGTACCCAGGACCTATCCAGAAAGAAGGGCAGAGGTTACAAGAAGTGCTGGGTACCTCTCTCCTCCTCTGCAACTGCCAGTTCATCTAGACAAGATGGGTCCTCCAAACAAGCATTTTGACACATTGGTGGAGGTCATACTACCAGTCCCAACAGTGCCATCTTTTCCCACCCCTATATTTGCCTGTCATCTATCCCATTTCCTAAATGCTTGGTCCTACATCACCATGGATCGTTGGGTCTTAAGCACAGTGGAAGTGGAATACACCTTTCAGTTTGTTTCTGTTCCCACTCCCACCGCCCTTCCCTGTCTGTCATCAGGGACCACTCTCCTGAGGTCACTCTACTGCAGGAGATGCAATCCCTCCTACTTGTGGGGAATATAGAGGAAATTTCCCTGTTTCCTGCTACTTCCTAAGCCGGAAAGCAAAAGGGGGTCTCAAGCCTATTTTAGATCTAAGAGAGCTCATATAGTTCTTAAAACAAACTTCTGGATGGTCACTCTGGCCTCCATTATTCCTTCATTGGACCTGGGGCACAGATATGCTGCCCTTGACTTAAAGGATGCATATTTTCACATAGCAATTCATCAGAATCATCAAAATTTCCTCAAGTTCATGGTAAATGGATCCCACTTCCATTTTCAGTGCCACCCTTTGGCCTGTCAATAGCTCCTCAAATGTTAACAAAATTCATGGCTTATACTTATCGCCCCAGCATGGTCCCAACAACACTGGTTCTCGGCTGGTACTAGCACTGTCGGTCAGACTGCTACTCCAGCTGGAGGGAGATGTGATCTCTCAGGACCACATCTTCCTCCTCAATCACAGCCTGCAGGCCCTTCATCTGACAGCCAGGATGCTTCATGGATGATGCCTTTGGAAGGGATTGTCCTCTTGATAATTTGATTTTCCGATTGACTTCAGATGCAATTTTGATTCCCATTGTCTTTGGCCTACCCTGATCCATTTACATTTGAGACATAGGCAGACAGGCAAATCAACATTCCTTTGTCTGGGACAAACTTGCTTACCAAACCCTGCCTGGTTTCATGGTTTGAGCATATTTTTAGTACATATCTACAACTTTTTAATTGTTACATCACACAGTGATTATGATGACCAGTATGATATAATTTTTCATTTGATACCTTACATGACATTCTTTATAGATAAATACCATGACAGCAATGTGTTAGGTATAGTGAGTTTGTCAGGCTTGATTGCAGTTGCTGTTACATGACAGCAAACCCTTTTGTCAGTGGGCAATGAAGGTCACATAGGTCACACTGATCTGAGATGAAACTTCGATATTTTCACCAGTAGACTTGGGTCTTCATGCTAAAATAACATTATTGCACCCCTGAGCTAGCCTGTGAACTTTTTTCCATTTTCCCCATTCAGAAACTCACCATTTTGTGGGGGAGAAGTGGCTTGCCCCCCTACAGTATCTGCTATTTGTTTAACTCTTGAGAATTTTGAGACAAAAATGAGTAATGTTTAATGTTATTTTTCATGGAACTAAGAGTGAAGATTCGTTTGGGGGGTTTGGCTAGTTTCAACCGGGGGAGGGGAGGTAATCTTTTCTCACAGCTCTAACCTATTCATCAGCTTAGTATGTCTCTGCTATGTTTTATCTACACATTGTAATTACATTATTTTTTTTCTAGAAATATCAGTAGCAAGATCTAGCAGCATAGAAGAAAAACTATGTGGTGGTAAGTTTTTCATTTCTCTGTAGCAGAATCTTTACCTGTTTTTTTTTAAACAGTATAATTGATTCCTATTTTTCTCCATTTGTTTCACCTCTTGCTCCCTTCTCATTTACTCTACCTTCTAAATGCCATATTCTCATTACTTACATTTTCTGAGAAAAACAGACTGTAGTTACCAGAAGCTTCCTCATTCACTGGTCTACAATTTTTGAGAAGTCGTCTGCTTCAGAGATAAAATGTGCTATTTATTATGTATTTTGATGTGCTGAATTCAAATATGACAATTAAAACAACTGATTGGCTACTATTTCTAAGATATTTAAGTTTTTACATTTTATGTCTATGTATATATTGTGTAGATAGTAGAATTTTAATCATAAATTGTAAACCTAGGTCTTTTCATGTGTTTATGGTTGCTTTACATGATAATATTTCACCTGTCCTGTTTATGTAACACTTTAAAAATCAGCAAAAGGGTTATATAAATAAAATTTATTATGAAACAAAAGGCAAAAAACTATTATGTACATAGTGTAGTCCTATTCAGTGTCTACTCAGCGCTTCTTGGCTTGTCTCTTGTATTCATTAAATGGAGCATCTCTTGTCACTGTCCAGCAATAGTCTGCAAGCATTGATGGGCTCCATTTGCCCTAATAGCATTTCTCCATCGTTGCAATGTCCTGGTGAAATCGCTCGCCGTGCTCGTCGCTCACTGCTCCGCAGTTCGGTGGAAAATAATCTAGATGAGAGTGCAAAAAATGTATCTTTAGTGACATGTTGCAACCAAGGCTTTTGTATGCCTTGAGGAGGTTTTCCACCAACAACCTGTAGTTGTCTGCCTTGTTGTTTCCGAGAAAATTTATTGCCACTAACTGGAAGGCTTTCCATGCTGTCTTTTCCTTGCCACACAGTGCATGGTCAAATGCATCATCTCGAAGAAGTTCACGAATCTGAGGACCAACAAAGACACCTTCCTTTATCTTAGCTTCACTTAAGCTTGGAAATTTTCCACGGAGGTACTTGAAAGCTGCTTGTGTTTTGTCAATGGCCTTGACAAAGTTCCTCATCAGACCCAGCTTGATGTGTAAGGGTGGTAACAAAATCTTCCTTGATTCAACAAGTGGTGGATGCTGAACACTTTTCCTCCCAGGCTCCAATGACTGTTGGAGTGGCCAATCTTTCTTGATGTAGTGGGAATCTCTTGCACGACTATCCCATTCGCAGAGAAAACAGCAGTACTTTGTGTATCCAGTCTGCAGACCAAGCAAGAGAGCAACAACCTTCAAATCGCCACAAAGCTGCCACTGATGTTGGTCATAGTTTATGCACCTCAAAAGTTGTTTCATGTTGTCATAGGTTTCCTTCCTATGGATTGCATGACCAACTGGAATTGATGGCAAAACATTGCCATTATGCAGTAAAACAGCTTTAAGACTCGTCTTCGATGAATCAATGAACAGTCTCCACTCATCTGGATCGTGAACGATGTTGAGGGCTGCCATCACACCATCGATGTTGTTGCAGACTACAAGATCACCTTCCATGAAGAAGAATGGGACAAGATCCTTTTGACGGTCACGGAACATGGAAACCCTAACATCACCTGCCAGGAGATTTCACTGCTGTAGTCTGGAGCCCAACAGCTCTGCCTTACTCTTGGGTAGTTCCAAATCCCTGACAAGGTCATTCAGTTCACCTTGTGTTATGAGGTGTGGTTCAGAGGAGGAGGATGGGAGAAAATGTGGGTCCTGTGACATTGATGGTTCAGGACCAGAAGTTTCATCCTCTTCCTCTTCCTCGTCTGACTCAAGTGAGAATGATTCTGGTGCATCAGGAACTGGCAGTCCTTCTCCGTGGGGTACTGGGCGTATAGCTGATGGAATGTTTGGATAATGCACAGTCCACTTTTTCTTCTTTGACACAACTTTCCCAACTGGAGGCACCATGCAGAAGTAACAATTGCTGGTATGATCTGTTGGCTCTCTCCAAATCATTGGCACTACAAAAGGCATAGATTTCCTTTTCCTGTTCAACCACTGTCGAAGATTTGTTGCACAAGTGTTGCAGCATATGTGTGGGGCCCACCTCTTGTCCTGATCTCCAATTTGGCAGCCAAAAGAAAGGTGATAGGCTTTCTTAACCATAGTGGTTATACTGCACTTTTGTGATGCAAAAGTCACTTCACCACAAACATAGCAGAAGTTATCTGCACTGTTCACACAAGTACGAGGCATCTCTGCTCACTTTGGCTAAACAGAAATGTGTCCCTTTGCAAAATCAAACACTGACAAATAAGAGAGCACGACACTGTATGATTTCTAGAGCTGATATAGGGCAATTTGTTCAGCAGAGTGATGTAAGCTTCGTTATGATTGCATCATCCATGACTTCTAGGAATAACATGATGCAATTCATATCATGTATGACGCAATACCAACTTCAGATTGCATCATTCATTGTTTTGCCTAAAAAGCAAGTACTGTCCAAACCCAGTCATAGATTTATTCATAGATCCAGTCAAAGATGTATTTTAGTCATTTCTGGTTTAAATTGAGATCCCTTCCCTTTATAACTCACTTATCCTCTGCCATTCCCAAGTCAAGGGTCGTATATACTGACCCAATAGCATATATTGAAAACTAGAACCAAGCAACAATTTTAAGCATCATTTTCGTTCTCAGTGACCCAGAATTAGTACAGTTTGACTACATTTATTTCAGAAGCATTTTGGCTGTAGAGCAGTGATATCTGACTGCCACTGGCTACCTTTTGAGTCAACAGCATGTTACCTGAAGTTCTTACTCTCACCTTCCCTCCTCCCCTAAAGGCAATCACCCTTCTCTCTGCAGGAGAAAGCCCTGTTATAAGCAAGTTACTTGCAGATCAAAAATCTGGAAAGTCACTGCACCAATCCAGGATAATAATTTCACCATCCCCACTTGGGAGTCAAATGAACAACTATGAGTCATCTTAGTCACCCATTTAATGTCTCAGACTGTATCTCTAGCTCATTATCAGGCAAGCTGCCAAAAACAAAACAAACAAAATAAAAAATCCCCTACAAAACAACCACAATGTTAGCAAAACAGGTCCTGAGCAGGAAGAGAAATTATTGTTGAAAAATGTAAAAATAAAAGAATACTTTATTTTAGTTTTTAACAATTGCACCTATTAAGTATTTAGCCACAGTCAACACTCTGGCTGGTTCTAGCATTCTTATGTACAGTGGAAGCAACTTTTCATTAAAGGAAAGGGGAGTGAGTTCAGTGGGGAAAAGTGAAGTCATCAGTGTGCACAATGTGTTCTACTCTGAGATTCACTCTGAATTGATTGTTTTCTGGCTTCCTCACTTTTTTACCAAGCTCTGTGTCTGGGGAAAACTTTTGCCAAAAGATGGAAAGTGATTAATGGGCCACTTACATATAATAGTACCCAAGTTAGCCACCTAAACCCACATTTAGGCACCTAAAACCTATTTGAGGCATATAAGTACTGATTTATGTGCCTGCTGAAAATAGGACCCCTATGAACATCTCTTTCTATATTCCAGTGCTACTACTCAATTTTCAGTAGAGACACTATGGCCCAGATTTTGAGGCACGTACCTCCCATTATAATTAAGGCTACAATTATGTACAGAAGTCACGGAATCCGTGACTTCCAGAGTCCTCCGTGACATTTTCCACTTCAGCCCCGGGGCAGCGGGGCTGGAGCTGGCAGTTGGCAGCCCCGCTGCAGCTCCCAGCCACCAGGCAGCCAGGGGCCCCCAGTCCTCCCAACCATCACAGAGGGTGGCGGTTCCCTGGAGCTCCCAGCCCCTGGACATGGTTTGGGGCCCCCTCGCAGCTGCCGAGCCACCACAGGTGGCGGAGGCCCCCCTTGCAGCTGCCAAGCCACTATGGGGGGCATGGGAACCCTGCAGCTGCTGAGCCACCAAGGGCGGTGGGGGGAACCCTAGAGCCCCAGCAGCTGTGGGTGCTAGATCCTCCTCCCTCCCCTATTTGTCAGGGATATTTTTAGTAAAAGTCAGGGACAGGTCACAGGCGTCTGTGCATTTTTATTTATTGCCTGTGACCTGTCCATGAGTTTTACTAAAAATACCCATGACAAAATCTTAGCCTTAATTATAATCAATGAGACTTAGGCACCTAAATACTTTTGAGGATCTAGGCCTGTATTCCCTCATTTGGGCACTTTTAGCCAATCAAATGCCAGTTTGTATAAAACTAAGCTGGGTAATCAGGATAAAAATTTGAACTATTTTTTGTTATTCCTTCATTCACCACACCAAACAAACACAGCTCTACCTTTGAAAAAGTGGTGCAAGGCAATGTAATTCACTTACCTCTAATTCATTAATAGCTGGTGCCAACTTCTGGTGGGTGTGTGTGTCTGTCTGTCTGTGTCTGTGTGTTGCCTGCTATCTCTCACCCCTCAATGGTATCAGGGAATGAGCATCTGGCTCCTTTCCAGATTTTCAAAAGGCAGCCAGTGGGCTTGCTTCCCAATTTTACTTCTTTAGGGGGGCCACCTACTCTACAGATCCCACAATATTGTCTAGGTGGAGCAAGTGGAAAGATTCCTGCTTATACTGCTGTACATTACACTTCTCTTGAACCCTCAGGCTGAGATGCTCCAGCATGTATTGGACATTGGGAAATTCTTGTTCCCCTGTTCTCCCTACAGTGCTAATACTCCCACTCCCACTCTCACTTACAAAAATAATTATGCAGGATGGGGAAGTGAGCAACTTGGCCACCCTTTGAAGATATAGGAAGAGTGAGGGGGCCCACCAGGAGGTGAATGGGGTGTTCGAAAAGCACCAAGCCATTGCCCCTGGAAGAAAGCACCAGGTAAAGGAGACTTCCAGAGCCTTTTAGGGAGAGCAGGATTCAGGTGTCTTTTATTGGTTTTGATTAAACTTACTTGGATTTCACCTTAGTTCTTGTGTTCTAAATTGTCCCTACTAGTCACTGAGTATAACAGAAATAATTAGAAGAACAACGTTCAAGGAGATTATTTGATTCAATCAAAATGAATTAGTGTAGATATCTTTTTAAAATACTACATGAAAATGGAAATAGTGATGTTGGATACTTTGCAGTACAATTTACAGAACTGAATTTAGGCAGAGATTTTCAAAACACTGAAAGAAATGCAATTAATTTCAATCGTAGTTGGGCACCTAACTCCTTTTGAAAACCCAGCCATAATCAATATTACTGTACTACAGATGTGCTGATATAAGATGCTGATAGTGATCTCTAGGAATATGCAATGTATTTTCAGTTACAAGTAAAAATCTTGGCGATTGACATTTCCAAGAAATGCATAACTCCATGAGATACTTTATTCCCTTCTGGATCAAAGCACCTGTTTGTGTTTTTCAAATGTTTCAAAACTCTTATTGTGACTGCCTTAAAGGTAATGCTGTCTTTTGCTATCTGTTCTTCAGAGTTTAACATGTTCCACATGATTGCAGTGGGCTTGAGCAGTTCTATACTTGGCTGCCTCCTTACACTGCTTGTTTACACTTACTGCCAACGCTATCAGCAGCAATCCCATGATGCAACTGTTATCCATCCAGTGTCGCCAGCTCCTCTTAATACCAGTATCACTAACCACATCAACAAACTGGACAAATATGATTCTGTAGAAGCCATCAAGGTAAGCAATGGATAGAGTTGTCTGTAATGTGTAGCTATGTATAACTGTATACAGTAATTACAGTGTGCCAAAGGAATTCTAATGATACATTTTTACAGTGAAAGGTGGACTCAAGATCATACAAATATTAAATATACAAGTATTAGATGTTTGAATAACTAAATTAGATTCATATTTGTAGTGTAATAATTATAGATTTCTTATCACACCAGCCTACATTACACTGAAGATATTATCATGTATTGGCTGGGATGTACAATTTGCGCACCACTGGCCTTTGTTCAAAGAAATCAGACTATTGCTCAAGTGTTTTCTTTGAAAGTATCGTCCTCCAGTATCTGGTTTAAAAAGTAGATTTGGACCTCAAAAATCATAGTGATACCTAATGGAGACTTTCCTTTAGTTCAAATAGCAGGCAGCAAAAGCTTCTGTCCTCCTTCCCATGCTATGTGTGTGATTTAGCTGGTGAACATAATTTTTTCTCAGTGACTTTCAAGAAAACATAAAATTATCACAGACAAAGTTTGCAGATGACAAAGATTAAGGGAAATGTAAATAATGAAGAGGACAGAGATACAAAGTGATCCGGATTGCTTTGTAAGTTAGGCTCAAGCAAACAAATATATGCTTTAATAAGGCCAAATGTGAAGTTATACATCTTAAGACAAAGAGTGTAGCTCTTACTTACAGAATGGGGGACTGAATCCTGGGAAGCAATGACTCTAAAAAGGACATGACATTCATGCTGGGTAATCACCTGAACATGAGCTCCCAGTGCGACACTGTGGCCAAAAGGGCTAATATGATCATTGGATATATAAATAGAGAATATAGAGTTGGAGTAGGGAGGCTATATTACCTCTGATGTCCACAGTTCAGATAGGGTGTGGATAAATTTGAAAGTTTAAGAGAAGAGCCACAAACAGAAGGTTAAGGAGTGACTTGATCACAGTCTATAAGTACCTACATGGGGAAGAAAAAATTGATAATGGACTTTTCAGTTCAATAGACAAAGCTTTAATAAGATCCAATGGCTTGAAGTTGGAGCTAGACAAATTCAGATGGAAATAAGTTGCATAATTTTAACAGTGAAGGTAATTAATCTTTGGAACAATTTACCCAAGGCTTGTGGTGGATTCTCCATCATTGGCAATTTTTAAATGAAGATTCGATGTCTTTCGATAAGATATGCTGTAGTTCGAACAGGAATTAATTCAGGGAAGTTCTGTGGCCTGTGTTATGCAAGAGGTCAGACTAAATGATCACAGTGGTCCCTTCTGCCTTATAATCTTTGAACCAAATCTGTGATGGGTCAGATCTTCAACTGGTGTTGATCTGAATAGCACAGTGTGAATCAAGCTGCATAAATTTATACCAGCTGAGAATCTGGCATATCTACACTACATTGCCATAGATTGTAAGTTCCTCTGTCATGTTTCACCTCTTATATCTAGGCTTTGCAGAATTCAATTTTTATTTGATATAGTTTCAATAGATAATGTCAATGTTTATTTTTAAGCATTTTTTAGATTTTTATCTATTTAAATTTTCACAGATGTGCAAAATTGTGAGTTTTAAGTATTTTTTGTTATTAGCAATTTAAATGTTCACAGTTTTGGGAAATTATGGGGGGAGATCTGGGAATGGGAGAGGGACAGACAATGACATTAGACTTCAAGATTCTAAAAGTTAAAGCTTTAAAACTGTTAAAACATAAATTCTCAACATCACATGTTAAAATACATAAAGTAAATATCCTTAAATTAAAGTCTAATAAATTTTTTAGCAACATTTTTCTTACTTTGCCTGTCTGAAATTTTGATTATCATCAGTGGAAATATTGTTTGTCTCTATGTGTATGATGAAATTGACATTTACCAGTATCTACCTATAACAAATCTAATCATGACAAGTCTACTTATAACCTTTTAGAACAGCTTCCTATTGCAAAATTCCTAAAGTATGCAAGATTGGGTATGCAAGATTGGGCATTTGTATACTATCTAGCCAAATACATTCAGATGATTGAATTTATGTGCTTTAGCAAAATTTTCTGAAGCGTTTGTGAAGTCCTGGATAGTGAATCTTTTTCTTTTTTTCTTTCCCCATTTGTTTCTTAAATAAAAAATCTAGGAAATTAGGAAAGAGAGATTATGCTTTGCAATCAATGGAGTATTCTATTTAAGTATTTTTGAAAATCCACTAGGCACCTATCTGCATGCTTAAGTGCCTAAATACCTTTGAAAATCTGACTCTGAAATGCCTAAATCTCTTTTGAAAATGGAATTTATATTCCTAAATCACTTAGATGCTCTTCAAAATTTTACACTCAAAATCAAGGAATGCGTAATCTAGAGGGAAATTATATAAAAAGTCTAAGTCAACAAAGATGTACAGAACCATTTTGACAATGAAAATACTATAAGAAAGAAGAATATATAGTATAAAAACCTACATGTGAATATCTTAGATTGGAGAAAAAAAACCTATAAGGTTATACTGTTGTATTGGAACAATATTGTATGGAATCATGTAGTTAAGGACTTCATTGTAACACATATGTGCATACAAATGCAGAGTTTTGTAGTAAACATATGTATTTCAGGGGCACTCTGGTTGCACCGTTGTTTGAATCAGTGACCCTGGAGGTTTGCCCACTAAAATTATCTTATTAAAATGATACATTTTGCTATTCTTTTTCTAGGCATTTAACAAAAACAACCTGATCTTGGAGGAGAGAAACAAATACTTCAATCCACATCTTACTGCAAAGACCTATTCTAATGCCTATTTTACAGATCTCAATAATTATGATGAGTACTAATGGATTTGTGTATTTTCTGGCCTCTGGTAACTCCCCAATCCCCCAAAGCCTGTGCTACATGACCGCTCATGTGTTTGAGGCTTCAGAGATGAAGTTCGGAGACATTTCAAGCACACTCCAAGCCATCAGTGTCCCATTGCTGCCAAAAAAACAAAAACACCTGTATGTGACATGATGTTCCCTTTTGCAATAGTGAAAGGTTGGCCTGCAGTACGGAATGCAGATTTAGTAGCTGGACATAGTGGAATGAGTCCTGAGGAGTATATCACTTTGTTCGTGTTTATAAATGTTCAGTCAGATTTCTCTAACATGTTGCAAACTAATTTCTTGCGCTTTTTAAAAGACTGTAACCCCTTTGAAGAGGGTGCCAGGAATATGACTTCTATTTCCTTTTGGACATTGTCTGCTTGTTTCCACTGGGTTTGAGGAGAAAACTCTGCATCTAGCAGTGGGGCCCTCTGAGGAGTCTTCCTGACATTATATTGCCAAAAAAGCTCATAGAACATTGAGTAAATGATGAGGAGAAATTTGGCAGCACAGTGTTATTTTGTAGTAACTACAACAGTCCAGAGTTAAACTTCCTAGACCGTGAAGTGTTTCGGCTGGAACTCTTGGAAGTTTCCCAGCTGTTTACATCTTGAAGCAAAAAGAATATACCAAGAGATATGCTTCTTGTGACAAAAAGGGAAATCTGAAGAGTAGATGGTTCAAAGTTGAGATAATTTAAGCCTTCATCTTGTTTATTTTATTTTTTGGGAGGTTACGTTTGAACATTTTCTGCACGTCATTAGTAACCTAATGTTACTGAACTGTACGGACTTGCATGGCTCATGGCATTCCAAAGTCCTCTTCTCCTCAGAGTGTGCATATGGAACCCACTTGACTAGTCTGCTATAGCATCCAAAAACATGCCAGTGAGTGGCAGAAACAACCGTACCATGATTTATCCACCACACCCTTTCCTTGACACTCCTGGGAACATATGCCTAATAATAGAATTGCTTTTCTTTTCACAAGTCCTTGTTTATACATGCCTGTTTGAAAACAACAACAACAAAAGGAAGAAAAAAGTGCCAGATGTGTTATGAAAAGCATTGTTTTCATCTTCTTGATGTGTCTGATCCATGCTAATCAATCTGTGCCAGGACCATTGATAATGTTGTTTAAAGTGGGCTTCCTTTGAGGCTCTATTGCTGTGAATATTTAACATACTAGCTGCTTTTTAAGCTGTCACTTTTAAATTCTTGTGCAATGGCAGGTGAGGAAACAGTAGCAGTCCTCAAATGATGGCCCAACTTTTCTTGGTCTCCTCTTCACCCACCACATCTGTAACATTTGTATTTTTGGAAGAGAAATTCCTGGTGTACCATTGAAGTGAAAATGGCAGGGGTGTGGGACATTTGTTCAGCCCAGAGTGCTGAACCGTATATATCATAAAAGGACAATTCAAAGACTTCCTAAACAAAATTAAAAAGTGAATATGAAGGTTTAAATCATTGCCTGTTTTTAAACTATACACCATACCAAGATTATCACATCAGAAATTTCGAAAGGGGGGCGGCTTGCGGGGAGAAAATGCAAACTGGAGATGCTTCAACATGGGAGAGCCTGTGGTCTTTAGATTAAAGTATAGATAGACACAAACAGAAAAGGTTTGCAAAGGTAAATGTTAGAATATAATGGTTCAAAATTCTGCAAGGCAAATCTATTAAAAAATGCCAAGAAACATAGAATTTTGTGTGAGTGTGTGTATGACTTTAGAATCATAGAGTATCAGGGTTGGGGGAGGGATAGCTCAGTGGTTTGAGCATTGGTCTGCTTAAACCCAGGATTGTGAGTTCAATCCTTGAGGGGGCCACTTAGGGATCTGGGGCAAAATTAGTACTTGGTCCTGCTAGTGAAGGCAGGGGGCTGGACTCAATGACCTTTTTGGGTCCCTTCCAGCTCTATGAGCTAGGTATATCACCATACATTATTAATATCTCAGGAGGTCATCTAGTCCAACCCCCTGCTCAAAGCAGGACCAATCCCCAGACAGATTTTTGCCCTAGATCCTGAAATGGCCCCCTCAAGGAGTAAACTCACAATCTTGGGTTTAGCAGGCCAATGCTCAAACCACTGAGCGAGCCCCCTCCCTTTAATAGCCCTGTAACTTACATGGCAAGATTCTAGACTAATTATGGGAATAATTCTTCATAACGTGTTGTAGTGAGCAATACATTTGAATCGGAATAGGTTCAAATACCATATCATACTTAGGTTCAGTGAAAATAATTAAGATTGGTTTCCTAAGTATTTCTACTGGACTATTTTCAGTGTTCATTTTAACTGTCAATTAAAAATAAATCCTCCACCCTCAGACAGGTTCACACCAAAAAATATGGTGGCACTAATCCCCTTTCGTCTACCATTGTAATACTGTACTTTTGATGTGTTTCCTAAGAAACTGCCTCACACATTTATTTCCCTTAGGAAAGATGAAATTACCTTTTCAAGAAAATTCAGTGGAATGGGGAGGGGGGAACTTTCCAAATCATAACCAGTTTGGTATTAGCATCACTCTGCTGCTGCTGCGAAATAAAACGCTTCATTTAAATAGTATAAAGAAAATAAAATCTGAATTGCTGCCACTGCCTGAAAAACGAACCAAACAAAGCCAACCAAACAAAGAAAAAACAAAATTAGAAACCCCACTCTTCTTCCCTGCTTCTCTACTAACAGCAGTGTTAGTCTGGCTTCTGTATTTTAAATTTAGCGTATTAGCTATTAGACCCATAGTTTTTAAAATATTTAAAGTATCTATCTTTTAATCTTTTTATTAAAATTATCTGAAATGAGTCCATGTTTTACTCTACAATATTTTTGAGGGGTATATATCTAACTATATAGATATATTGGCCATTCCATGTATATTCACTGTATTAGATCTGTGATGGTAATACCCATGGGATAAATTGTGAAGCCATATGATTAACTGCATTTAGCCTTCCCTGCACTCTGCCCACTAATCCATCTCCCACAGAACTATTTCAACCATTCCAAATCTCTGAGCAGCTTCAAAGTGATGTCATTTTTAAAAAATAATCAACCTGCCAGAGAAATGTTTCCTTCTTTTCTTTCAAATGTGAAATGTATTTCCCCAAATTACCCTGTGGCCCAAGCTGGGGCAATAATTAGTCCTATAGCACAAAAAGGTTTTATGTCTGTATCTCATGTTCCTTCAGGGTAAGAAATGGCATCTTCATATCACTGGAAAGGGGAGATCCCAAGTTTCCCAGTGGGACTAGTCTTGGAAGATCCTGAGACATCAGCCTTTAAAGCTGTGACATTTTTGTGTGTTGAAAAGTATTTTGGTTAATTTAGAGGTATTTAAAATGTATTAATTGTGTCTATTTGTTCTGCCGCTGAGAGCTGCACAGTTGCACATATGGCATTAATGGAGCCTGGCCTTGAAGGTGGACAGATACAAAAGTAGTCCCCCAATCAGATTTTCTTTTTAAATTTTTAACCATTTCTTTAAAAGTTTTTGCTCTAAAATTGGTAGGACACACATTTTGGTGTGAAGTGGATTTCTGACATCTAAATGCACATGAAAATGTTTTTCTTTAGACCATAAAAGTTTGAATTTTTGAAATCCTGTGGACACTTGCATGCAATTCTCATGTAAGCCAGTGGGCATTTGTATGAGGGGAAAATTTGGCCCTAGACTGTTGTTCTTTTCTTGAGAGGGGAATTCAAGTCCCTGACCCCTCTAATTCTCTCCAGTTCTCTCAGAGATTTTTGGCTCTGATATAGTTCTCTGTTCTGGATAAAATATTATATTATTTCTAATGCCAGGATTGGCCTTCTCTAAAATACCGGTGCTCGCTCAATACATTCATTTTAAAACTTTCTTTCATTTTGCACTTACGTTTAAATGAAACCGAGACTGAAGTTTAAAATAAACATTTCTCCAGAACCGGCCAAAATATTTCATCTTTAATCTGTAATTTTTTTCTGTGTAACACCAGTACAAAAAGAAAAAAGGAAGATTGCAATGCCTGGTGCTGTAAAGTATATGGTTTCATCTGATAGTTCAAATTAGAGCTGTGTGTGTGTGTGTGTGTAGACATTTGGGGCTTGATTCAATATGAGATACATGGGAATATATTGCTCAGTTGTTGGAAAATCCACTACTGTGCTTGCAGATTGTATCTTGTACTTCAATTTGAATCTGAAGACCTTTACTTTCATCTAAGCTTACTTTTAGTAGAAGCTTTTTTTCAGATATCTGCAATTGCCTGCTGCTGCAGCAGTGTGTTTCAGATAAAAATAAGGGAGTTTTGGTTGGGATTTGAGTTTTCATAACAGAGCAGGAGATAGAGGGGTGTTGAATTGGCTTTGATTTTCTATTATATGAAATAATACCAATTAAAATCCTGGAAAGATATGGGATACTCTGTAAAGTACAGGGAAGTAGTTGTTAACAGTATCAGAATCATACAGAAACCTGAGGGAAGTTTCAAATCAATATAAAATAAAGAGCCACAAGGCGATTCATTAAAGAAAAAAGTGCTCAGCATATTGGACCATATGGCCATACAAAACAGAAAAGAGAGATTTAAAGATGTAAGAAATGTTAATGAAAAGAAATAATTTTTTTTTATAATTATAGAATAATTAAGGCCCCACTTCAGTAAAGCATATATGTGTTTGCTTATCTTTAAGCACATGAGTATCCCCATTGAAATAAATGGAATTTAAACACATGCTTAAAGTTTACTGTTTTGCTGGATCAGGGCCTAAGACCCAAATCCTGCAAACACTTTGAGCACATGTATAACTTTACTATCATTTAAGTAATGCCATTGAAGTGAATCGTACTACTCGTGAGAAAAGTTGATCACATGCTAAAGTGTTTACAGCCCAAAGTGTCCTATTCTTTCTCCAAGAGCCCAGAAACAGTATGAGGAAACTGTGGTGGTAATGAAAATCAGAAATGAATTTACTAAAAGTTAGTTTCAAATCTGGATCTTGATTATCAGGGAATTGATATGCATTCATTGAGTGGGATATTTGAATTCATTTTTTTCTTTGCTAAATAAAATTAATTATAAACAGGATATTTTGCTTCTCTTGATTTAAAAGACATAATCTCCCAAACTAAGTAATGATCCCCATGTTTTGTTTGTTTGTTTTCATTTTTTTAAAGGGAACTAGCAGGGCCGGCTCCAGGGTTTTGGCCGCCCCAAGCAGCCAAACAAAACAAAAAAAATCCGCGATCGCGATCTGCGGCGGCAATTCAGCAGGAGGTCCCTCGCTCCGAGCAGGAGTGAGGGACTGTCCGCCGAATTGCTGCCGAACAGCTGGATGTGCCACCCCTCTCCGAAGTGGCCGCCCCAAGCACCTGCTTGGTAAGCTGGTGACTGGAGCCGGCCCTGGGAACTAGCATTCAAGTCACACAAGAATATCAGCTTCCTTGGTAGATGGACTGCTCTGTTTAGCACCTAGAAATTCTTACTGATCACATTGCCTCCAGCAATACACCAGTATTTTAATTTGTCTCTCATGGTCTTTGCTCTTCTTAGTTATAGATAAAATTCCCTTTTTTTCCTCTTTGTGCAGAAATGCTCTTGGGAGGTAAAATCTGACACTCTGTATGATAGTCTCCTAGGGAAAGTGGTGAAAGTCCCATGTCTTCAGACTTCTGAAATTACAATAGACAGAATACTAGAAAATGTACTGCATGGAATAATCCAGCACTGGTAGAGAAATAGATTGAATGATCAAATAAGTTTTTGCCAGTTTGTGGGGTTGTGTGTGGGGGGGTTTGTTTGTTTGTTTGTTTGTTTTGGGGGGAGGGCAGGTTGGTGATTCTGTGACTGAGATGATATGAAAAGGGAATTCATTAAACTCTCAATCTAAAATTAAAGATTTTTCAGATGGAAGATTTGGCAGGTATTTCAACACCAATAGTAATAGTCAAAGGAAGTGGGATTAGAATTATGTGGAAATGTCAATTGATGGCTTGGCAAATTCATTATTTAACTTGCACACAGACTTTAGTCTTTTGCTTGAATGAGCTTTTCCAAATTGGCAAAAGCAGACATATTCAACTCTTATCTCTTGAATAGTCAGGCATACCAGATTGCCCATCAGACATACCTCTCTGTCCTAATAGTCCATTTATTTCAATGGATGTTCTGCTGAAAGTTTAGGCAAAGATGTGTTCATGACTCAGCAGCAGTAAGGAACTGAATAGAAAGAGTCATTCTCAATGGCAAGTTAAATGGAAGGGAATCCGACTCTTTCAGAAGTGGTGAGCGGGGTACAATATATTCCTTTGAGACCAATGTCATTTTGTTTGTTTTCTTTACAATCCCCTAATTTTGCCTCTTTTTCACCAACATCTTCCTGGACTGCCATTGTTCTCTGAATTCTCCTGTCTGACTCAGTAGAGAACTGAACACAGCTCTCCCTCACTGAAGGTTTGCCTACATGAGAAATTTGCATAGATTTAACTAAACGTGTTATTTTAAACCAGCTTAGTGGGTGGACACCCAATCCATGGGCTAAGAATGCAGCTGGTGGTTGTTACTTGTGTTTTCTGTTTCTCTCTGGAAAACTTCATCTGAAAATCTGAACCAGTGGAATTCTCAGCTTTATAAAAATGGAATAGCTTTGAAGGTTCAGAATTAGCAGCCAAATCGTAGTTGCTCCAATATTTGCCAGCCATGTTTGCTGATTCCTAAGCATATGGATTTCAAATAATTCTC